TCTGTCATATGAATACAGTAGACAATGCTCAATACATTTTAAATTAAATATATTCACACTCAATGGCATATTCACCATACAATCACTAGGATTTACCTAATGAAAAAAACAATACACAACATTCAAAACACTTTCCACCTAAAAAGCTATCCTTCTCATTAACAAAATAGGAAATACCAACGAAATGTCTCATTGTGTTTGTAGTGTCTTTATGTAATATGTTGGTTGCAATGTTCAGTGCAGGAAAAAGGAAAACCTTGGATCCCAAAATCTGTCCATATATTCCACCGTTGAAATAGTATATCCATGACTCAGTCAACTCCAATATATCAGGAAGACGATGCATATCTGTCATCCTATGAAAAGAACGAAAATACTCTTCCTCAATCTAACAAGCATCGGCATGTTGTAATCCCCAAAATCATGTTGGTATAGACTCTTCTCTCGCCATAACTCAGAAATACTAACTTGTCTTCTCCCGGTATGCGCTTAGTCGTGAGAAAAAAAAAGACCAGTTGTAGATACAAAATACTGGAGCGTTTGGGTTTTTAGTTAATTAGTCATCTTTTAAGTGGGTTGCATTTGTCCATTTAGCAGTAGTTGCAAATCCAGAACAATGTCAGGCAGATAAAGTTGCAGACACCTACATTTCTGACTCCTACCTTCTTCCTACACCGTTGGTGATCCTCTCTATTCAAGTTCCCACCCGAAATGCATCTTTTAAAGTAGCTGTTTACAGCTAGTGCTGTGTGGTAGAAGTCATACATCTTGCGTAGCCATAAACGAAGGGGGTAGTGTCCTGAATAATAAAAATAGAGAGAGAGAGGGAGAAGATAGTGAAAATTGGAGAGAGTGAGAGAGAGAGGGAGGGAGGGAGAGGTGGTGAGAGGTAGTGAAGAGAGAATATAAAACCGGTAAAACACCTTCGGCTTCGTGTTTTCATTTCCATGTTGGTCTCTCCTCGTTTCCTTCTCAGTTTTTACTCTTTCTTTTTTTCAAAAGTAAAAAACACTTTCTTCTATTTTTAACATGGACTAGCTATCGAAGTTGTTTCGAAGAAGTTTGTGTGGCACCGGCTAGTCATAGCTGTTAAATATCACAGATGATCTCTTATTTTTCCCTTTTACTGATTTGTTTTTACACCCCTCCCTCGTTTTTCAAGTGCGCCTGTTGTCTGTTCCCTGAGCCCCCCACCAGCCTCCCTTTTTCATTTTGCGCATTAGTTATTACACTAGTTGGGTGTGTTGGGAGAGATGTGTTGAAACATTAACAATACATGGAGAATTCGGTTTCTGCCGCGAGCCAAGCGGGAGCCGGCTGTGGAAACCCAACTTCCTGGTAATTTAATATAGGCTACACCAGTGGAGGAAAAAACAGAGGCTCCTCTCATATACTAAACAGAATTACCATAGCTTGACACCTAACCAGGAGACACGTGAATCAAAAAGTACTAGCGCTGTCTCTCCGCTTGTAGGCCCCTGTCCTGTCCAGCACGTCTGCAATTAGCATAATTTTTCACTAGTGACGCTGTTTGATGGGGATTAACAGCCGCGACTGGCGCTCGAAGTCAACCCCGCTATATCCAAATAGCTGCACCAAGGCCTTGTGTTGACAATACAATAACCCACCGAAAGAGCTACGAGGTGCGGGAATAACCACCGAGAGAAACACACGCATGGGGGGAAATGCAATGGGGGAAATTTCGCGGCGAGCCGCGGTTCTGCTCGGATTATGATGTTAAGGTTTGCGCTGTGAGAGAAAGGGAAATCTGAGGCCATTGTTATCAGCGAGCAGGGCGTACCAGTCGACAGGGCAGCCAGGCGCTTGCTGCCTGTCCATTCGCAGCCCCCCTAGCATTCCTCAGATCTTTCATGCCAGACCGTCTCCCCCCTTCCCAAGCCGAGGGGATCCGTGCAGGAGCGCCCGGACTCAGGCTCGGGGCAGCCGTCCTCGAGATACCGGCGGATTTACATTCGCTGCGAGTTTTTGAAGGGAAGGGGAGAGCTCCCGTTTTATTGATTGCATCGAGGCCGAATGTGAAAAGATATGATGCCTGCCCGTGCTTCCCTCGTCAGAGGCTAAGGTAAGCTGGTCTGAAATAGGCTATCAGTTTGTGAATGGCGGAGAGTGTGTCCCGGTGATTTATGACCATATGACTCCAATCGCGGTTCAAGAAGAGTTCACAATGCTTTAAGCTTCCTTCCACGCCGCAACCCCCCTTTTTCCTTTAGAATCTTTCTCCAACGGATTCATTTCCCCCACTTATATGTATTTACAATGCAACGGGGAAATAATTTTTGGCCAATCTGTTTTCGTGGGCTTTGATGTTCAGACATGGGTACGCGTTTATTTTCAGCTAGTACCGAGGCATGGATCCCCATGTTATTGGACTGCCGTGCTAAGCTAACCTCCATTTTTATCCTATCTGGCCATATTTCTAAATGTTTTGATAAGGTGTTTTTCGTTTGACATGCCATTCAGACGTCCAAGGCCTATTGTTTTTAATTGAATGAAGGCAAGGGGCGAATGAAGACCGGCTCGACATGAAAGACCATTGCACTGCTCATTTGTTGTTTTGATGCAATAATTGCCATTTCTCAATCTGTAAATGGGCTAACACATGTCTCGATACCTAACGTCTTTATATGTGTGTGTATTACAGGTAAAATGCTAAAATGCAAATTGACACCCAAACTTGTGTCTAGCTCGTCTCCATGTTGTTGTTGTTGACGTCCTTGTATGGGATTGCTTTTTATCCAGCCCCCATTCGCTCTGGACCCCATAATTGTATTAGAGCGAATCTATAGGAAAGTTAGTTATTGTGTTAGTGTTACAAGCAGGCCAGGACATTACGTGTTCCATTTAATGGCATTGCGATATGATTTAATATCTATTATTCCTGTAGCCATTTTTTCCCCTTCTTTCTCTCTGTCTCTCCCTCGAACAATTCCTTAGAGAAAATAATTAGGATTCCAGCCGTCTACTGGAAATAAATTAGCGACATTTGTGACGTGGTGAGAGTTGGTGTCCAAAAGCTGTAGTCCAGGATCCCCTTCCTTCTCTCAGACATAGCACTGCTCTCACAAAGATTTTTATTCAAATGTAGAGAATGTCTCCCTATTCCATTTTGGGGGTAGGCCTATATTATTAGGATGAGCTATAAGTCTCACAAAGGATATACATACATTAAGATTCATTATTTACTTATGAACACAAGCTTTGTATTTTCTTGGAATAGCATGTAAGAATGATCTTGTTTTTATGGACAATTGATTTTAGCCTTACAAATTTGTATAATGGTTATTCTTTGGATTATTCAGATTGTCTTTTTTATTTTTAGGCAATAGTATTGTCTTATTCTTGTCCAGAGATTTTCTAGTGATTATATAATTTCAATTTTCGTCATCAGTCTACCATTTATGTAATTGTAGGCTATTGGGTTACTTATAATATATATTATTAGGTAATAACATAAAATATGTCCATATTATTATGCAAAAAGCCTAATAATAGAACAATTTAATTGAAATAACTACATTCACTATTAGACTTTGTTTATTTGGGGGAATTTGCCATCATAATACCAAGTGTAACCACAAACCTAAAGCATGTTGTTTTTGTTTTGACTTCTATGTAAGTGAACCTGCTAGTTGGCTTTCCAACTGAAGGCTGCCTGCTACAAAAAAATACTATTCCTCAAAGCTTCCATGGTCCTTTCAAACCTATTTTCCAACGTTTTATCTCGGTCTTCAAGCGTCCAAACGAAATTAATCCCAGGTGCGTTATTGTGCTTGGCAGGGGCCACGTACACTGTCCTCTTGGCCACCCCAGCAGTTAGCACATATAAGGTCTCGAGCTTTTTTTAGGGTCTATAGTCCTCTTTGGCCGAGCGACCCTAATGAATCGAACTCGCCTGAAGGTTCCGGGGACCCTATCTCATTCTCCTTCTGTGGAGACCTGCAACAACGTCCACAACGGAGTCTCAAGTGCCAGTTTTTTCAGGTTTTAATGTTGCCCAAATACAATATTGTGTAACCTGAGAAAACCTGGCAGGAAATGGAACTAAGAGCAACATATGCACTGATTTCCCCCAACAACATGGCAAAGGCCCATTCATAGCTTTCTACACAGGCTAGATAGCATTTTACAGACAGCATTTTAAGACTATTCTATTTTTTTTAAACATCACTAATTGTATATTGCTCGTTTTCATTCATAACACCGAAATGCACATTCTTTACGCAGAAGGTTTCTGTCTTTATCTTTCAATTGTGCAAATAAATATAAGGACTTTTCTATTACAAACATAACACAAGACATGTTAGGATAGTAAACGAACACATCGCTCTATCGCAATTCAAACGACTTTCAATGTATGAAAAAAAAGAATGATAACGAAAACACGTTTTATTATCATATAAATAACAAAGGCCAACGCTGAAACATTATTCAAAATCTTCTAATGTGAAAATCCGGAAAATAATCACAAATGATGGGTTATACCTACCCAAATAATGCAATGACCACATATTTGTGAGGTTATATTCGTTGTTTATTCTAGGACAACATCTTGAAGACAATCGTGTCTGTGCTCCCAGGTGCGAGTGAAGAGTGACTGGCTGGATGTTGTTGTGTGTGTGTGTGTGTGTGTGTGTGTGCAGTTGTGTGTATGTGTCTGTGTGAGAGAAGGAGAAAGAGAGAGAGAGAGAGAGAGTTAGGAGAGAGGGAGTGCTGCTCATAGTGAGAGAGAGTAGGCCCAGTGCACCGTGGCCTGGCATGGCATCTGCAAGCCGTGTTGTGGGAAAGCGCTATTCATGTCATGGCGCCTTTCAGCGGTAGAAGATGGATTTATTTTGCGCCTCTCTTATTGTGTGCTTCTTATAACCTTTCAGGTCAGCTTCCAAGAGGCCTTTGGAAAGAGACCGTCACGTGACATCTGGTGCCAATGTTCTTCCAGAAGGTCGTCAGGACCCTGGTAGCTGGTAACTCCACTTTTGGAAATGCAGAAAACGACCTACTACGACAACTCGACGCTTTTCGGAGGTTACTCGTACCAAGGGGCCAATGGCTTCGGCTATGATGCTCCTCAACCCGCCTTCCAGTCCGCGGCTCACCTCGAAGGCGACTACCAGAGGTCCGCCTGCTCGCTGCAGTCCCTCGGTGGCAACAGCGCCCCTCCCCAGCAGCATGCCAAGACGAAAGAGCTGAATGGCAGCTGCATGCGGCCCAGCCTGCCACCTGAACACCAACCCCCCCCCCAGGTGTCCCCTCCCGTCAACCCCGCCAATGCCACCAGCAGCAGTGCCACAGCTACCAGCAGCAGTGCCACCGCGCAGCAGCCGGGAGGCAGTGGTGGGGCCGCCAAATTAGCGCCCAAGACGTATACTCTGTCCAACAACCCCACCCTCAACAAGCAGATCTTCCCCTGGATGAAAGAGTCGAGGCAGAATATTAAGCAAAAAAACAGCTCTCCAAGCGCAAGTTCAGCTAACGGTGTGTGCCCCCCTCCACAATCCCCCTTACCTTGTTCATGCCCCTTATATACACATTCAAAGCTGGATAGCTTAACTACAATACAGTTACAATACATAATCATGGATTTGTATCTAATGACGTAACTTATTATTTATATATTTAAAGCCTGGGTTTTTTCCTAGTTAGGTCGTTAGGAAAAGCCCTCTAGTCATAACCATATTCAATTGATAACTGAGACCTCTATTAATTGAACTCACGAAAAATAGAAGCAGTCATTCTCTTTATTGAGTAGCATTTGAAACAATTGCATTAAAACATGGCAGTGTTTGGCATATACTGTATATATTTTCATCAGACAGAGATGATAAGTTTGGAATCCGAATGCTCTTGTTTATTTGCAGATAAGAGCAATGCTTAATCTAAACTGTAGGCTGTCAAAGATGATTGATATGAACATATTGACAGACAAACACACGCACGCACGCACACCAATTTAATTGAACCTCAGATATGTGTGACACAATTCAAGTGAAAACAGTTAACGTGCAGCTCCTTCAAATATAGTAGGCTACAGTTCTGGCTGTGGGCTTTGTCTATGATGCAATTTACGTACACGGTCAATGTAGGGTCTCGAATCTCTTAATAAATGCCAAAGTTATGAAGTGTTGACAACTAATATCAAGGGGATAAGTTTCGTTTCCTGGCCTCTGCTTTATTAGGAAATGATGCATTCAATTTCCGCGTGTAGTAATTATGTTTTATTTCATTCCCACCCCAGCGGAGAGCAGCGGAGGTGAAAAAAGCCCCCCGGGTTCCGCAGCCTCCAAGAGAGCGCGCACCGCGTACACGAGCGCGCAGCTGGTGGAGCTAGAAAAGGAGTTCCATTTCAACCGTTACCTGTGTAGGCCTCGCCGCGTGGAAATGGCCAACTTGCTCAACCTCAGCGAGCGCCAGATCAAGATTTGGTTCCAGAACCGGCGTATGAAGTACAAAAAGGATCAGAAATGTAAAGGGCTGGGCTCGTCATCAGGGGGGCCCTCTCCAACCGGAAGCCCACCCCTAACCCATGCAGTCCTCAGCTGGCTTCATGAACTCGATGCATTCAATGGCAGGCAACTACGACGCCCCCTCCCCGACCATCTTTTAACAAGTCCCATCAAAATGCCTATGCCTTGTCCTCAGCCTACCAAAACCCCATGAAAAGCTGCCCCTCCCAACAAAAGTATGCCAACACAGCACCAGAATACGACCCGCACGGGCTACAGGGTAACAGTGGCAACTATGGGACTCCCAACATGCAGGGCAGCCCCGTGTATGTGGGAGGAAACTACGTGGAGTCGATGCCCACCTCTGGGCCGTCCATGTACGGCCTCAATCATCTACCACACCACCAGGCTGGGAACATGGACTACAACGGTGCCACGCAGATGTCAGCAAGCCAACACCACGGACCGTGCGACCCCCACCCGACATACACGGAGCTGGCAGCGCACCATCCTTCTCAGGGTAGAATCCAGGAAGCACCCAAGTTAACTCATCTGTAGTAGCAGGTTTGGGGGAAAATCTAAATTACAACTACAAATAACTAACCCATGGGACGCTGCAATGGGGTTGAAAAAAAACATGATCCAGTGGTTTCTTGCCATGGCCAAAAAAGTATTGTCTGTTGTCTTTATCATTGTGCGTATTAGTAACATTCACTTGAACTGCGTTTTGATTAACGGTTTATTTCCTTGAATATGGAGCCCTCCCTCGAAACCAAGTAATTAAATAGTAATAGTTGGGCTTAATGGACAGCTAACAAGGTGGGAGATGTATTACTGTCAGACCTTTTTGACTCGATGGAACACATGTTATGTCAACGTGGAATTATGTTTAGCCTGCCTCCCTGCAGTCAGCACAAATGGCTAAGCTTGACTGACGTCAATATGTATTTTTCAATTGGTGCAAGCAAACCACTGGATTGTTTTAGATTACTTCCCTTATTCATATTACCTCTCTTTGGAAATGTCTCACTAACCCACTGTCCTGTGACATTTTTTACATGTCCTCGCCAAACATTGTGGCTTCAAGGGAAGAGCTCTTTCAGCATCACACAGATGCATAGTAGGCCTACACTCCTACTGGGTTTATGGTGTTTGGGTTCACATTGCTATGCTATGCTAGCTAACATCCATAAACAAACACAAACACACACACGAGGACATATGTTGTTATATCATCGTCACAGGGTAAAAAGGAGTTGAGAACTCTTTTGAAAACTATGATAGGCTCATTGCCCCCTCCTCCCCCTCTCCCCCTCCCTCCCTACTCTCTCTCTCCCTACTCTCTCTCTATTTTTCTCTATCACTCCCTACTCTCGCTCTCCCTACTCTCTCTCACTCTCTCTCTCTTTCAATCTATAGGGTTCACTTACATTAGCCATGACTAATGCGAAAGGCCCACATTTTCTCATGTCTTGACTTAACGTGGAAACAGGGTATATTTGAACAAAATGCATGTCCGGGAAGCAAGCTGAAGTGTAGGTTTACACTAATGCTTTCTCGACTGGGCATCATTGTTGCACTTAGAGTTTACATTTTGATGGTTAAGGAAAAAATACATCTTATTTTGGAAACGGAAGACCTCCAATCAGCGTCTTTCGCAATGTGTGTTCAAGTGAACATTCATAAATATATATTTATTTGTTATAGCCAGTTTAAATACTTTCTTTTTGTATTATTTATCCCCCATGTATTTATATCAAGAAAAAAATGTACTTTTTTAGTATTTACCTGTTATAAAGACGTTGTGTTCTTGTCATTGTAACGAATTAATTTTAGTTATTGTATTTTAGAAATAAATAGTTTTATGTTACCCTTGTACATAAATAATGTATTGACTTGTACAGGGGGCGCGAGGACGGAATCAGACCGTTCCTGCATAGTCGAGAATTAGACGAAATATAGCTAAACACTTTTGGAGAACTTCCTTTGTCCTTTGTAGCTCCTTTTATTTCATTGTTAAGAGTTGTCTGTTGAACAATTCTTTAATAAAATGTTATGTTATTCAGTTCTATCTGGTCATTTCAAGTTTTCACCTGAGACAAAACGAGGGCCATACTTTTAAAGTTGTTAAAAAACGCAGAGGTATAAATTAGCATAGTAGACATGTGCACAAACTCTATTGCTCCCTCGCTGGCTCTATTCCCCCCTCTCTCTCTCTCTTTCAGTGACACACACACACACACACACACACACACGCACGCGCACAAAGCTTCTTGGGAGCATCTTTCCTCGTGCTAGTGCCAGACTACTGAAATATCCCTCGGGTATGCGCTTGGGTTGGTCACGTGGTCCAAAGGCAACACAATCTTTGCCCAAAAGCAAAATAGTTTAGTACATCATTTACACATAGATCGATCCTCATATCCTGAATCATATTTTAAGGAGAGTAGGTCTACTGTATGAAGACAATCAAAGTATAGAAAATAACATTTATTTTAATAGAAATCTAATTTATCGCCAAATAAGCAAAGGAGAAGATCACAGATGTTGGAATATGCCTATACCTAATTATGAGAAAATATAGTTTAACTCATTATCATTGAAATTTCAATTAAGTTCCCTTTCAGATGCTGTTAAATATTAAAAAGGCAACCATCAAGACTAATCCTCTTGCTAAAACTAACTGCAACTGAGGAAGTTTATTAATATAGAAGTACTAACACAAATAACATAAGTAGCACTAACAACAGAATAGTAATAATAATAATAATAGTAATAAAATACACTGTTTATTCTATGCTGCTACTTCAAAACACATTTGCCTTGTCATAAAATGATAAAATCAACTTACACCTAAATATAAATGTGTGAAAACACTAATCACCCAACATGAATAATAAAAAGACAACATATAGCATAGCTAATAGTCATTTAAACAGTAGTTAAGTCTGTTAATAGTTTTTCGAATTGTTTGCTTAGCTGTAAAAAGGCAATAAAAGAGCACACTCCCACCACACTCCAAATATGAAAGAGCACATTCCCAATAAATAAATATATAAATACACAAATAACGTTGCAAGTCCATGTTCTGGCAAGCATAAAGATTTTTGTGGCACAAACAAACCACATGTCAAAACGCAGAGCTTCTCAACCACATAAAAAGTCAAAACAAATAGTCATCAAAAATGGGAATAAAATTCCTGATGATGAGAAATACTCCCCAGTTGTCCCAGTTTTTGCACAAGTCAGCTCCAACATAAGCAAAGAGAGCCCGTGCTTCTGACCTCCTTTCCTTATTCTACAGCCTGCATGCATGGGAGAAAACGCCGCCTACTCACTGCTTTGTATTTAGCTTTAAAGGGGCGAAACACCCACACATATTTCTCCCGTCTTTGTTTTTAAAACCTAAAGTCAAGTCAAATAGAGTCGAATAGTGCACTGCAATGTTGGCCATTTTCTTATATTTTGAGATAATGCTGAAGCCTATTTCAGCAACAGGGTTTTATGCGCAATGGAAAACAATTCTAAGGCCTGCATTTGGGTTGTTAGACTACTGTCTTTTGCGTAAAAATCAGTAGGCCTAGATTCTGGGGGATAGAAAGAGCGTTTCTTTGTTGGGATCTTGAAGGAAAGAGAGTCATTCTTGAGGCTGGTTGCTGTCAAGCGCTTTGCCTGGGAAAAGATTGATCACCGCAGTTCTTTTTTTCACTAAAAATATCCTAGCAGCTAGGCTACTATCCCGTTTTAAACTTCTACAATATCCTTCAAATCAATACATGTAACCTAGACCTATAGGCAATACACTATGTTCTTGCTTATCAATAAGCACAAATTCGTATAGGGCATTAGTGTAAACACAGCCTAAGTTTTTAGTTTTTAAGAAGCTAGGATTCCCAGTTGTACATGCGACCTTGCTGTGAACCTTAGTCAGTCGGCTCAGTAAACAAGCCATCAATTTTTTACACTGCGAGAGAAAACTCCTAGCTAGCAGTCAGTGGAAGACCTTGCTGTGCTGTATATTTTTAGGACCATTTCACACACACACACACACACACACACACAATACATAATTTAGTAGCATATCTCTCTGCAAGGTGATAAAGAGCTAGGCTAGCAGTTATAGAGAGATAACATAATATAATTATACACTTACACACACCGACCTGGCTCTTCACTTTGTAGCTTCCCTTTATGAAAACAAAAATATAGTAGTTTATCATTACACCATGCAGGCTGCTAACCTGCACTATGCTAGGCTCTAGGAAACCGTTATACAGTATTTTGCCAAGCGAATCTCAGCCTCTTGCTGAGACATCTCCCATCTTGGTTGGGTGCAGTTATTTTTACCTTAAGTCTGCTCCTCCTGTCAAACTTTTAAGATTAATGAGCTTCTTTTGTATAAACACGCCGTTTGCCATATTGTAAATGTGCTCTTAACAATAACCTAATGTTACTGGATTACATCACCAGGGTCCAGGCAGAATCTCTGCATGCAAATCTCCATTGTTTGACATGAAGGGCCTCACAAAACCTCCCACTCGAAACAGCGAGGTGAGACAGTTGGCAACCGAACACTTTTTTTCATTTCGAATATAATACCCCCTGCTAACACAAACCAATATCTTATGATATTTTTGAGCATTTGCTGAAAATAATGCTTTCTTTAGCCACCAGGCCCCGGCTTTCCATTGGTTGAATCTGGTCATGTGACCAGGAATTGGCTGCAATTTCGCCCATAGTCTTCAGTTTAGTAGACCAAGGTCCCCATACGCTAGTAATATCACCAATATACACAATTATTAAAGCCCGCAAATACGGGATAGCGGGGAGCTAATAATCACGCGTTTTTGTTTTTATTTTGCTCGTTTTGATCTCGGCCGTCCGCCTGTGGACCAGGATAAGCTATGAATTTTGAATTTGAGAGGGAGATTGGGTTCATAAACAGCCAGCCTTCCCTTGCAGAGTGCCTGACGTCTTTTCCCGCTGTCCTGGAGTCATTTCAAACTTCATCAATCAAGGACTCGACAGTAATTCCTCCTCCTTTCGAGCACACCATCCCCAGCCTGAGTCCCTGCACAAGCAGCCAGGCGCGACCGAGGAGCCAAAAGCGAACCTCCAATGGCCTCCAGCTTCGGACGCCACAGCCGCAACAGGGCCCAGCCCCGCCGGCGAGCGCGGCTGGCCCGCTGGCACACGAGTTCCCCTGGATGAAAGAGAAGAAATCCTCGAAAAAGGGACCCAAATCTGGGAATGCCACTGTAGCCTCCTCTTCTCCCTCTCCTGCATCCTCCGGGTACGCCACTGCAGGACTTGAATCACCGACAGGTCGGTACATGATGTGAAAGACAAGGCTATACATTTTTGCTGCCGTTTCTTTTCTTTTCCAATGTCTTTATTTGCATGGTTCCATTGCATGTTGGTCTATACTGCACCTCATAGAAACAGATATGGAATCCTAATCTTTCTCAATCACTGTTGCAGGGCATTTTTTATCATGTTGATGTTAACAAAAGGACAAGAACCATGCATTTATTTCTGAAATATGAGTGCCATTCTGCTCTGTGTCGTGTATATGGAGGAGTCACAGAGACCTGCATTGTACTGCAGTGTTGCTTTGCATGAGCTATTTCCCGTCATAATCCTTATTATTACTAATCTATTACACAACTTTCGATTGTATTTCACTGTAACATATCCATTTCTTGCATTGCGTGAAAATTGAAGTCAGGCATATAAACATTGATATAGCCTAGACATAATAGGCTATATGTTAGCTATATTGCAAAGTCTTTGTAATGCTTGTATGTGTCAGATATTCTATGCGTAATGCGGATGTGTGTGTGTGTGTGTGTGTGTGTATTCTTGCTGATAAAGTCGCATTTCTCAAGATACAGATTGCAAATCTTGTCCTAGAATAACGATTTAATCGCAGTCAGTGTCAGTGCTGTCTTAATGATATATATTCATAACCATGTCTCGAGGTTTGGGGTAGCCATGTTGGATGTCAGTATATAATGTGGATGCAATGGGACAAAACAAAATATGGGGCTTAGAGGAATAACGCGTGTTCTCTGCAAACCTGATACACTGACATCAGAGAAGCACTGCAGTCATTTGAAAACAATGCACATGGGGTAGGCCTATTGGGATTTTGATACGCCTCGTTCATTTTGATGGTTTTCAGTAGCTGCGTGCCAAATGTCTAGGCTCAACCCTATTAGCTTGCTATTTTGGATTTATTTATGTTCTATGTCTGGGCTCTTGCAGAGGCGCAGGGTGGACTGGACAGCGGAAGCGGATCCCGGAGGCTGAGGACTGCCTACACCAACACGCAGCTACTGGAGCTGGAGAAGGAGTTCCACTTCAACAAATATCTCTGTCGGCCCCGGCGGGTGGAGATAGCTGCGCTTTTGGATCTAACAGAGAGACAGGTCAAAGTGTGGTTCCAGAACCGGAGGATGAAGCACAAGCGGCAAACGACACACCACAGGGAAGGCCAAGAGGGCGACCCCGGCGGGTTCGAGCCCCTGGAAGGTGCCGATGCCTCCTCGCCTTACTCGAGCCAGCCACTGGAAGCCTCGGGCTCGGCTGCGTCCGAGGGGGAGACGTGCAACTCGGCAGCCTCCTACACGAACAGCAGTGACAATAACCAGCCCACGCCTGAGGAGGGCCAGCTGAGCTGCCAGGAGCCCGCATCAGTCTCTGACACAACTGTGAGGTCGACCCTGTTCCCAACGCCCACTGCAGATAACCCCGCAACAATGGGCGACGGTGGCGCATCTGGGCCGGACCATTCGTTTTCAGAGCAGCAGGAGGCCTCCTCCCTGCCCGATTTGAATTTCTTTTCTGCTGATTCCTGCCTCCAGATTTCTGACGCTTTATCGCCCAGCTTACAGAGCTCGCTCGACAGCCCGGTAGATTTCTCCGAGGCGGACTTTGACTTATTTACGAGCACACTTTGTACAATAGATTTACAACATTTACAGTTCTAATGACAACAAGAACAATACAGAACAATCGAATTAAGGAGAATGTCCCACTGTATTACAATGGTATGAATGCTTCTCGGCAACATTCCCGAAACACATTTATGAAAAATAATCCTGGGTTTATTTTGAAGATAACATAGAACCTGAGATAGCAAAGGAGCGATTATGTCCTTTCCTGGCATTATAATTTTGGTTTACTCCATCGAAATCACATACGGATTTCCCCTTGTTCAAATTTCAGGTATTTATTGCCTTCTTGTTTTCTGACAGTATTAATTGGCAGTTACAGTATTAGGCTATACTGTCTCCTTAATGTTTCAAAACTGTTCAGTGCAGCTCAATCGCTGAATTCTCAGGAAATGTAGGCCTATCAGATATATAGGCCTAAAGGATAGTTGAACTGCTTTTAGAAATTCTCTCGAGACGGGCGTTGATCCTGTTGATGAGTTTTAGAACTAGTTTATTTATTGAGATTCTTTAATAGTAAATTTCAAATTATTTATTGTACATTATTTTCATAGTTGAAATAAAAACATACTTTTATAATGTGGCCTAAGTGTTTTTGATGATGTAGTTACTGTTAAATGAAAAGTGCAATTATTTTTGATAGATGATAATTCAAACAATTATTTCAGATAAGAAAAATCTAGAAATATTGCAAATAGTGATTGTTTGAGATGTATTGGTCTACCAATGTCTGTTACTGGTCTTGGCAAACGCATAATTTGCTATTGCACAGTTGATATGTTCAAAATGCAGCATGTTATAATAATAATAATAATAATAATAATAATAATAATAATAATAAGTCATATAATTATTGTCGTTAATATTATTTCCACACAATAATGTTGGGATGGTTTCATCTATTGTAGGGCAACACATGAAATCTCCAAAGGTTGTATTGGTTTTCAGATTTTGGGGTACTAAAGATACAATAATGTTGTTAGTTTGGTATATGAACATATTTTTTGAAAAAGTGATGCTTTTTTGGGGGGCCCAATTTACCTTAACCCCTTGAGGTAAAATGGGCCACATGGTTTCAGCTAAAATGGGCCATCATTTGTGTCACTCACAAACACACATACACATGTGTTTGAGTGTGTGTGAGTGAGTTTGTGTGTAAGGGTGTGTGTTTGTGTTTGTATGTGTATGTACGTGCATACACACACACACACACACACACACACACACACACACTCACACCATGACCCCCCCCAACAGTAATAATGGTAGTATTTTATTTACAGTGAGTATGGCAAACGAGAAGGAAGCGAGAGGAGAGGAGAGAGGGAGAAGGAAAGAGAGAGGAAGTGAGAGGAGAAGGAAGGATGAGAGAGGAGACAAGCAGAGGAGACAGGAAGTGAGAGAACAGGTGAGGAGAAAGGAATGCAGAGGAAATGAGAGGAGACAGAACGAGAGAAAAGAGAGGAGGAGCAAGGACCAGAGAGGAAAGGATACAAAGATAAAACAGGGAGGGAAAGGAAGGCCAAACAACTACAATCTGTGGAAAGAGGAGAGGATGAAGGGTGCCTTAGATGAATACAGGGAGGGAGTGAAGAAACCCAAATGACCCTAAGGCTACTGAGGAATGGTTAAAATGTGTTCCATGTTCTGCCTGGTTTCATGAGAGCTGTGGTGAAGACAATGGTATCTGTGCTGACGATGGTTTCATTTGCAAAGACTGTGTTTGAAAAGTTTTCACACAAACATATCAGTTAATAATTTGGAATGTGAATTTTTGTATTTTTGTGAATGCACATTTTGTTCTAAATGTGTTGTTCACACACACACACACACACACACACACACACACACACACACCACTGACAGTTCACTGATCTATGCTGTTCCAAAATGGATTTTTTTAATTGCACATTTGAATATGTGGGTTTGCACCCAAAATGTTTTTTGAATGGCACATATGAATTTTTGTTTAATGCAGTTTAAATGTTATGTGGCTGTATAAGCAACTGTGTTTTAAAATTAAAATTGATGATAAATGACTATTTCCCTTTGGAGTTTGACTGGCCCATTTTACCTGAAGCTGTGGCCCATTTTACCTGAAACTGCTCATGCAACAAATGTTGGCAGAGCTGATGTTTCAAGAACTGTAGGGCCTAAATAATTATATTTTATTAAATAATTTCAACACAAAATTATCAAAAACAGTCATTATTAATCATAAAAACACATGGAAAAGGCATATATGGTATTGTATTATTGTCCCAAACGATTTACCAAAAAGTGGCCCAATTTAGCTGATGTCACCCTACAAAAACTAATAATCTGCTATTTTAAATATTATTGAAATGTTTTCATTATTTTCTTCCAATAAGCTATTGCTGGGGCAAATGCATTCTTATTGTGAATTCATTCTGTGCAAAAAATAAACACAACACATATGATAAAACTGTTTGGGTAAAGACGTTAGCCAAGAGAAATCGTCATAATCAAGAGCTGATAAAGAACACAATGTGTTGGCCAAGTTATTGTTTTTGTCTAGCCTAGCCTGGTGGGAATTTGGTGCATGGTAGGCTAGCCGACCTAGCTTAACTTACTTTAGCTAGCATTGTAGCATGAGGGAATGACTGAGCTAACGGCGCTCATGGCTGATGTCATGCTGATGCAAAATGGCGCTGAGAACACAATGGGTGATATGAACAATAATGCGGCAGCCATTATAGGACATTTGGTGTATGTGGCCTCACAGCCCAGCATCCAGCAATACTTTCAATGGTAATTGGGTTAATACATAGGCCTATAGCCAAATTGATAAAAATAAACCAGTTATGTAGTTGAACCGTACCTTATGTTAATGAGATAGGTCTGGAGTATTTAGGACTACTGACTATTTATACCTTTGTTTGGTTGCTACTCCCTCAATTATTAACATGGTCAGAACCAAAATAATAACGTAATAATAATAGTAATAGTAATAGTAATAATAATAATAATAACAAGAAAGATTATAATAATACAAATAATTATTATAATAATGATTATTATGTGCAGTATTGCATTTTTATCGTAGGCCTAATGTGCCTAATAGTCATGCATTATATAGTAGGCCGAAAATTCACAATGAATAATGTGTATTCCTAAGACATAAATTAAGCTCTTCTCTGACTCAGCCTGTCTACTGTACCTATCTATTTAAAATGCATCTCCTGGATCTGTGTTCCAATAAGCACTCTCCTCCTTGTCACTGTTACCACTGTCTGTCTACCCGCCTCTCCATAATCACATGGTCTACACACATACATGTTATCTTATAAAGCAGTATTACTATGCCATCACTACATAACTCACTAGCTAGTCCAATATTCCCTTTTATGATGGTACTTAGACAGAGTTATTTTATTAAAGACATTGATATGAAGTTCCTATATCAAACATGAATATTATCATTATTTCATACTGCAATTAACTTAGCCTACTGTGTCTCTGCCAAAGCAATGGCCCTTACATTGTACTCCTGGTGGGGAAACCAAATGTATAGTGTGCACCTGCTAGACCCAGAATGGCTTCCTAGTGTGCATGGAATCAAGTTTAAGGAGAGGAAACTGAGAACTAGAACTGGGTCACAGACCTTTGGAGCCACCAGACTCAGAGGGCCTTGATGAAAAACAGTGGTGGTCCAGACAGGGTTCAGCCAAGACGAGTGTGTGTGGCTGTGGCAGGAATCGTCGCTTGCCTATCAGCAGTCACCTGATCGATCCCAACTTCAGAGGTCCCGATCTGTCTGGTCAATGGCAGAGCACACTCACAACCCTGGGACTCTAGCAGTGACAGGTATGAATCAATTGAACATTCAAATAACCACCGGAATGAATGGGGTCAGTTCTGTTCACTGGTGTACCTTGTTGTGTGTGTTTGTGTGTGTGTATGTGGCAGAGATAGAGGAGAGTGGTATGAGGGGTGTGGGGGTTGGGGTGGTGTGTGTTCATATTTGACAAAGGTGAGAATCACTTGATCCCTTCTATCAGCTGATCAACATACATCGTGAAGGCCATTGAAACATGGGTTGTGACAAAGTGAGATGTTAACAAAATTAGCATTAGTAAACTTAACATTAGCATTAGTGGAAGGAGAAGAATTACGACTAATGTCAAGTTTAAGGTTGCAAAGGGCAACTGGGGTGTCTTATCGACCAAAAGAAAGCCCATCTAAACTGTCCAAACTTGTATCCTCAGTGCTGCATCTCAGCAGAGAGTCACTTATTGGCTCAAGTTCAGCTAGCTCAAGCTAGCACTCCCAACCTCCTGAAGTGAGTAGCTATGGGAATGGACATGTTCATTCAGCTTCTCATGTGAAACATCAGTTGGTACTTCTAGTCCACTCTACCTGGGACCAGACCACAAAACAGACATAAGCACAGGGAAGACGCCGGTCACTGTTTAGACAACAGAAGTCATGCCCTGAAGCCCTTACTAGATCAGTAAACACAGGAGCAGGAAGTAATGGCCGACTGATATGGTTTATGTGCTTGATAATTCGAGGTGTGGTGCCTGTGTCTATGCTTATCCATCTGTATTTGCTTTATTTGGACTCCTGCCACTACTAAGAGAGAGCGTTTATCAGTTGGGTCCCCTCACAATCGGCGAGAATCAAGACGTTCGTTTATTTCCCTCTTAGAGAGCAGCCATTGCTGTGAAGTTCTTGCGAGGTGTTACTCTTGGATGGTGCAGGCTAGTAAGGTGGAGCAAGGCAGAGGTTTGTTGCATGAAGAGGAATGTCACTGCCCCAGATTTTCCGATATGATGTTTACATAGTTATGTTTACACATACATGTGGGATGGTTAAGGGTTCGCTATAACCAATGACATTTGAATGAGCCTAATGCGTGTTGGCTATACATCGTCTGATTGGCTATGAGGGCTCACATGACGTGTAGGAGAGGAGGTAGACCAGGAAAAGCAGCAGCTGCATGCACAAACTGTCTTCACATTGGAAACCTGACTAGGTTGACCTGTATGTACAGTGCCTTTAGAAAGTATTCA